ATTTTTTTTTCATGATTCCTTGCTAGTAGATTAAAAATGCACCAAGTTAATTGCTATATCTGTTGAATTATTGCCTTGAATAGAGCAATACAATTATATAATGCAATTCACTTACCACTGGTGTGGACTTCAGGCTTGTACATGTAGTTCAACTCTGTCACATTTATTTGTCATTCACAAATTATGACATAGATTAAAATATAGTCTAAAATGTATTTGACAGAATTAAAGGACCATTTCATCATTTCTATTCACAGGTTATATTTCATTATAAGATCAAGCACCTTTTATTTCCATGCCCAGTTCTCCCCAAGTAGGGGCCGTAGCGATAGTCCGAAGGTTCAATAGTCCGAAGGTTCATTGGTCCGAATGTTCACTATAGAACCTTCGGACCAATGAACCATTGATTAAAAAATCGATAAAAATGCTACCACTTTTCGGACCAATGAACCTTCGAACCAATGAACCTTCGGACTATCGAGACGCCCCCCCCCCCAAGTACAGGTCACTTCCATGCTGTCCTTGGTGGTCACCTGGAGGCACCTGTTCCTAAAGGGCTCAGGCTCCCATGTCCAGCCAGACCCAGGGTGGTAAGGCTGAATGAATGATGAATGAATAAATAAATAATTTGATGATATCTTAATGTCTAAAATGAAAAACGAATTGTTAAAAAATATATACAATAACTGATAAGTCAAATACACTAAAGAAATGAATGAAGGTATAAATAAATACTTTAAAAACATGTTTGACTTTAAATTTACTTTTTCAATTTCAAAGAAAATCATTTTATCTTAGATCATTACTTTTGTAAAAAAAAAAGGATGATACTAACATTTTGTGGCTTAATGAATTTTCATTCCATTTTAGAGCCCTTTGGCAGGAGAAACTCTGCCCTTAGAGACGGGACACCCATGCTGGTTGTCCTTGGCATGTTAATGCCACGCTGGGTGTCCCAGCCTCCAAGGGCAGTTCCCTTGCCCACCACTTTTGCTTTCAACAGGTTTTCTCTCAAAATTAGTCTGACAGTGGCATTGGCTGTTCAAAATAAAAAGTGAAATAGAAAGAAATCCTATCAATATATCTTTTTGTTATTTTCATTATGTACAGACATTCAAATTGACCACTTAATTAATGTAAATAAAGAATGGGATATCTTACTTTCATATTACAAAGAAATTAGTTAGTTATTTTAGGCCCACTGTAATGAATTGCCAGCCCATTTATCAAAAACATACAGTCACACACACACACACACACAAAACTTACGAGCATACTGTTTTGTTTTTTTTTTGTTTTTTTTTTGTTTATTTCAATCTCCATATCAGCTGTCATCTGCAATATGTAAAATAAATAAATGAAATCTTAGTTAAACAAGTGAATTGCATTATACAAATTATAGATTTCTGCATCCTCATTTGATTGTTTTTGTAAAAAAAAAAAAACATTTGCACCATCACAAGAATGATCCTCAAAACGTCTATGTGACAAGAAATTTTCAAGAATTTCATTTCCAATCTTAAATAATCATAAAAAAAATCATGACCAACACCTTACTTAAAACTTGATACGGTTTTTCGGTTTGGAATAAAAAATAAAACTTACCAGCGACTGTGTAGACATTGTCTCTTTTTGCTTTGTTTACAAAACAATAAATAAGAATAATTATTGTATAAAGGAATTTAACTTTTTTTTTTTTTTTTTGGACGGCTCCTGTATTGTTTCCATAACTTTCAACCAATCAGATTGACGCTTCGTAGAAGCTCTCGACCTTGAGTCTTTTTGCTAAACAAAATACAAATCACAATATATCACAATATATAACACAATGCCTGGACCCTGGTAATTTCTGTTGCAGTGCCAGAAGCCTCTCCCTCCTTCCACGAGTTTCTTAGAAAGCAGGCGGTGAATCTGTTGCAGATCCTGGCTGCAGTCCATTACAAATCCAAAGTCTCACCTCTTGCACATCGCCATCTATACTAATCAATGTTTATAAATATGGCGGATCAGGCAAAGGGTGATGTCGAAAAGCCGAATTTTCATCAAATGTTCTGTACACTAAGTGTCATCTTCCACCAGGACACTTTTCTAAGATGGTTCTGTTATATAATCTTTCGGCAAACTTAATCCGTGAGTTCAGGATGAGACATCTGAAGTGAAGGACACATATGGTATCGACTGTGTCAGTTGTTCACTGTTCACATCACGATGCAATGTGCTTGTGAAGATTTTACAATATGTGCTACAGAATGTTGACGTGCAGATTAAAAGTGCTTTTGGAGAACTGACAAGATTGCGCACTTCAAGTTTTGCCATTCCCTTTTCATCTGTAGTTTTGCACTGGCTTATGAAGGTAAGATAATTAACTGGAGAACTGATGTTGTATCTGATTTATAAGTAGACCTTTTTCCTCCTCAGCCTTGACTTACAACAACGCGTTATTTTGTAAGTTTTTATATTTATTTCTTCACAGTTAATATGATGTACACATGTAGAAAACTTACTAAATTACTCTAATATTCTGGATCTTAAGGAAAAAGCCTCAGATCACTGACATTTTTTTGTTGTTTTTTTTGTCTTTTCCAGTCCATCATCTGACTCCACACTACACGGATTATGGATTGGACAGTCAAAACCCAATGATGCTAATCAGTTTCTGAATAAATTTGTGGAAGAAATGAGACACTTATAACAAGTTGGTTTAATTAATGATGACAAAAATTTCACTGTTAGGATATCAAATTTTGTTTGTGATACAGCTGCGCGAAGCTTTGTGAAACAAGTGAAAGGTCACACTGGGTATTATGGTTGCGACAACTGTGTTCAAAGTGGTGAGTGGGTTAATCACCGTATGACTTGCACAACCTCGAACTGATGTTGCATTTAATGAGATGATGTATGATGAACACCAACGTGGTGAGTCAAATTTACTTTCCTTGAGGATTGGCATGATCAGCCAATTTCCACTAGATTACATGCACCTGTTTAGGGATTATGAAGAAGTTGTTGACTCTGTGGATGAATGACGGGGGGGGGGGGGGGGGGGGNTTTGGCTTCGCATGCTCAAATCTATGGAATTTTACACAATTTTTCAAGTTTCCCATTTGAAAACTATCTTCAGACTATTAAGAGACTTGTGCGCAAACCAAAATTGCCACTCCAACAAGTGATACGCCGTCTTGCAGAAAGGGAACATGTGAAAAAAAAAATCAAATCTTCACAAACATTTTGTAAAAAAGAACATCACAGAGGACCAGTCCCAGAAGAATACCATCAATGCAAACAATATAAAGAACTTCACATGGAAAAAAATTTTTTATCAGTTAAACAACTGGATAATGCTATATATGTTTGACAAACACCTTTCATCATAAAAAATATAATCACTTTCAATCAAGAACGGAAATTGATATGTCAACCATTTGTGACAAAAGAAAAATTTTTTATATATCCAGTGGAATCTAGTAGACTACACATATGGTCCGTGAATAATCCGAGTGGTCAATTAGTGAGCATCAGTCCAGAGCAGATCAAATCAAAATTAGTTTTATTACCATTAAATAACCAATTTATTACTTTACCCCTTCTGTGATAAACATGCATAACTTTATTAACTTTTATAACATTTGTATCACAGGGAGATTATGTCTGGCTCAAAGTTCAACATCGTATATTTCCCTGAGGAAAATTCAGTGGCAGTGGCCCCTGATGAATGGGTCAAAGGTGATAAGTGCCTTTGGGCCCCCAAGACAGTTATGAGAGGTGGAAGAGCCATAGAGGAGTGTGTGCCACCAGATTGTGATTGGGCTGTGTATGACTGCAAAGTGTTGAAGTCTACTAGTAAGTGTGTGGAACCAATTAAATTAACATTATCAATAAATTTGGAATAAAAGAAATGAAAATTTGTGCAACATTTGGTCAGTGGCAAATTCTACGGCAATGTTAACTAGGCAGTAATTTTTAGGTGACTACAGAAAGGCAAGGGAGAAGTGCTCAAAAGCAGTTAAATCAATGAACAAAAATATCTGTGAGATTGATCTGAACACAACTGACACAGAAGCTAAGAGGAGGTGAGGGGGACATTATATATAATATTACCTGTAAATGGTGTTAAATTTCGAAAATACTTTATTATTTCATCATAAAGTGTCTTATATTAATTGTAATTGCATGTTTATAAAAATGTAAGATTTCCATTTTTCATACCTTTGTTTATCATGGTTTCATCACTCACACTCTTAATATATATAATCATCATGATTATAGTAATATATACCACTGTATTAAATGCTTTTTTTTTGCACAAAAGGAGACACCTGCCACCCAGACTTGCAGAAGAGGAATCTGATGACAGGTTAATTCTATTTTTAAGTAATAAAAAGGATATCTTGGTGTGTGAGTGTGTGTGTGTGTGTGTGTGTGTGGGGGGGGGGGGGATAAAGGCCAACTCATGTGCATACTAAAAACTTAATATATATTTTAATGCTCCGTATGTCTTTGCTAAGGTAAATGGTCTTTGAGTGGTATTTAAATGTTATTTGCTATGAAAGGAAAAGAATTATGTTTCTAAATTATTATTCATTTGCTCTTCTGTTATGTACAGTGACATACAGCCATTGAGTAAAAAGGGGAGGAAGCCCTCTTCTCTCTCTACGTCATTTCCATCTCCACCTCCTGTCCCAAGGATGGTAGAGGATGACAGCATGAGGTTAGTGAACTCCTAGACTTGTGGTAAATGTAATTGAATTGTTCACTTAAAGGTTGCATGCCAGTTTCAGCTATTGTGAATATGTTCATATATTTGTTAGTTCTTTGTCATTTTTCCTTGTTTTTTCAATCATATACAGTGGCATACAGAATTTCGAAAAGAATGGGAAGAAATCTTCTAGCTCTCTCTCTCTCTCTGGAGGATGGCAGCATAAGGTTAGTGAACTCCAGTTGAGACTTGATAATTTGTCAAATATATGCAATTGCTTTAACTGAAGACTGCATAATCACCTTTCCATTGGTAATAAAAAATTCAATTACCAACACTGTCTAGAACGAAATTTGGATGATAATTTTTGTTTTAAATTTGACCTTTTTTGTGTATCAGTGATGGTGTACCAGTAGAAAGAGAAAGACCAATATCATCAATTCAGACACTCCATGGCAGGCCGTTAACCCCAAAGGAAATGTAAAATAAGTTTATATGCAAAGAAGAGAATAATTACTTAAAATGCAGTATTTTTTGTGAAATATTTTTATTTAAGTGAAACGCATTCTCCAAGTTGATGAAGATTTATTGTAATCATATTTAATATTAATATTATATTATGTTGCCAAATGGCAAAATTTACTGTATGTGCTACTTCTCTTGCAGTGCACCTAGCACCAGTTCTTCTGGATTGACCCACAGATCAGCTGAGAGGTACATATGTGTGACTAACATTAGAGGTACATGTATGTGTGACTAACATTAATTGGTTGATGCCAGTTGTTTATTTTGAAGTAAATGTCAGCTAGCAAGTTTTACATGTTTCTAAATTGTCAGCTCTCCAATGTCTTTCTAATTTTACCCTTATTTTGAAGTTGAATATTGGATAATGCAGAAAACTTTTTTAAATGACAGGAAACATATGGTAATTTTGCAACAGATTTTGTTGCAAACTAAAAAAAACACAGCACTGCTCCAGGCCATATACAACAGGCAAAAAGTGGATGAGGACACCAGCCAGATGGTGGAAGATCTGGATCTTCCCATCAGATCAATGGAAGATTTCCAAAGATTAGAAGATGTACTGCAAGATCGGTCTTAATCCAAAGCTCTTGTGAGTTATGTTCTATATAACACTATGTGTTTGATAAGATGACATTACAAACATATTTTCCATTTAAAAGATCATCTTTTATTTGACAGTTGACCATCTGATTGGGAGCTGAATGTTGGAAATAATATTGATATCATAACTGGTATTCTGCTGTTTTTTTTGTTTTTTTTTTTTTTTTTTTGTCAACTTCCTTTAATTATAACAACTAATTTTGTTTTTAGTATTAATTAATGGATAGGAATGTAATTTTGATTATTTTAGTAGGAGATTTTTAACCTGTGGTACAGACGAAAGTAGTACAACTAAATAAGGAAGAGTGCTGTTAAGGGGTAATTAAATTCTTTCCATTAAATTGCATTAGACTGTCTGAATTTCATTTGTTATAGGTCCATCACCTGACAACTCTTGGAGGAACAGGGCAGGAAAACACCATTTATAGGATGATGGAAGCGCTTATGACATCTCCTATGGCAACTTTATTCAACTGGAAGGGCCGTGCAAGAGGGGATGGCAGCAAAGAAAAACATGGTCTGTGCAAAAGCAGAATTGCCAGAGTCGTGCATGGTAAGTATGTGTCTGCTGGTGAGTCAAAATAATTTTTCATGATGTAATATTTTCCCACTCTATCACCTCTCACGCTTTAATTTGGTTGTAATAACACTGAAATATATTTAAACATGTTTTAACTTTAACAGATGCTGCCAAAACAATGGTATCAAGGAAAGTGACGCAGAAAGAATCATGAAGACATGGTTGAAAAATGCCAGTGACAGGGAGGGAGGAAGACAGCGAAGATTGTTGAAGAAGATTGGTATGTATTACATCTATGTATTTAATCATATTTATTTACTTTTGTCTCTTTTTACACATATTAAAAAATTGAAATTACTGTTTTAATACAAAAATAAGATTCTTTTCCATGTTTGCACTACATGTATCAGTTGGTTTCTTAAATAGGTCAGTTTATTCTAATTCTGGTGATGTCGATCTCCATGCCAATCCTTTTACTTATGTTGAATTTACATGTAAACACTTCAGTTTAACAGGGATATGATGGACAATCACTTGCAATCACTTCAATGTGTTAATTTCAGAAAAAGACAAGAGTCCAGGCTTTGCAAGAGACAATTGTATCATCATCCTCGGATTCAGACTGATGTTTTTTTTTTTTTTTTTTTGGTCCTGAGTTGAAAGTATGTATCATGTTACATGCTTATTGAGAAATTAAATTTGGATACCTTAGTCAAGATTGACTATTAATTAAGGTTAGGGGATATTTCCCAAAGACATATATTAACTGTGCTTGGATCTACATGAACATGTATATGATGTTTTTGACCGTTTAAATTGTTCTGACTGCAAATTAAAGCACTCATGCTTGGTTCTTTCAAACAAATATGTTGTAGTTAGAGTACTGAATAGAGTTTACGTAGACTTTTTTATGTTGTTGTTTGTACATTTTGTGATATGAACAATATTGTTCCTACATAGTGTTATTTGCTGCAAGTAAAGACTGCATTAGACTGGTATGGCTTTGGAAATATAAGACAATTTATTTCCCTGTACTGCTGAATGGACCTACCGGAAAATGCATATGTTTTTGACAGCTAAACATGTTTGACTATATAAGCATTATATTTGACATGCATGTTTCCTTCAAATGAATATTTTACCAGATACAGTACTAGAAACAGTTTTTGAATAGAGTTAACTTAGTATTTTATATGATGTTGTTGTTGGAAAGTTTGTGATGTGAATGATTGTTGTTACATTAAATAGTGCAAGTAAGGACTGTATAAGACTGGTATGGCTTTGGGGTGTGTTGGGAGGCCATTTTATATATAAAATAATTCCCATTTGCTCTCCCTATTAAATGCTTGAACCTACAGGCGCATGCATTCAAACAAATTATTTGTTACCATGTGGGTACAGTAACAGTGTTGAATGGAGTTAACTTAAGTATTGTATATATGCTGTTGTATGAAGATTTGTAAGATGAATGTTTTTTGTTACTTTAAAAGTGTTGCTCACTGCAAGGAAAGATAAGTGTAACTGGTATGGCTTGGGGAGGGGGTGAGGCCATATCTCAGAGTGGAAGATTACCTATTTTTTCTATACTTTAGAAATAGAATTTATGGGTTTTTTTTAAGTATTTATCTTAAGGTCCATTATAACTTGCCTTGTTGTATTTTAAGGAAGAAATATTACAGAAGAATAAACACTCTTGCAATATTACATTGTGCTTTGTCCATTATATATGACAATAATAATGATAATATTATTATCAAAAAATTAATAAATCAATTAATTAACGAATAATAAAGAAAATAAAAAATGAANAAAAAAAATTAAGTAGGTTGTTTTAAAAATGTATTTTTTATCATCTACCAGCTTCATCCTCCACAGAGGGAAATAAAATATTTTGGGCATGTTCAAAAACAACTGCATATGCTGCTTAAATCCTTATTTTAATATGCTTGAAACGGAGGTTCCGTACACTAACCTCAAAGTTTTGAATATATATAATTATGTCACTTATATGTACATGTACCTTTAGAATTTTGTTTTTGTTTGTAAGTTTGTTAGAAAAATTATTGCTGTTACACTAAATAGTGTTATTTACTACAATTAAAAATGTGTATGACTTGAGAAGTGTTGGGAAGCCATCTATAACTTGACACCCTGATTGTTTTAAAGATGTATTTTTTTATCATCTTCCAGCTGATCATCCTCCATATAAGTTTGTATGTGGTAATATTGCCGCTGTATCAACTTATCTTGGAGATGTGACCACAACAATGACTGTAGAGATAACAGTGATGAGGAAGGGTGTAGTAAGTATTGTGTAGAATGAAGATGGATATCAAAGAAATGGGTTGTCAAGTAGTGGGCAACGAACTTTCTGAAGCTGTGAAGATTGCTTGTCAAAATACACACAGGAATTTAAAAACAAGTAATGGGTGCATTTAATCCAGAAAATATCAACTACTTTGTTAGAAAACATGATAAGAATGATGTTCTAGAATGACTTTTTGAATAGACGTGGTTAACTGATCAACTTATCTTAGAATTTAAGTTGTTTAGCTTAATTTCTATAAATATAAGAAAAATTGGACTAGATTTCACAAAATAATTAATGTTTAACTATTTAAGTCATGGAATTTGACAGCCTATTCAATGTAATTTTCAGGTCTTTCAGTTATATTGTTCTTGTTCCAGAATACCCTTACAATGAAAAAGCAGGCAGTGAAAGACAGCACCAAGAGCAGCACTATGTTTTATCCATATGTACAATACATATTTGGAAAGATTTAGGACATTGTTAAATATTGTGATAACAACAACCCCTTCCAGAAACCTATTGTAAGGAGTAATCTGCATCTGGCATTGGTAGTAAGGAGAAGTCATTTATGGGTATATATTGTTTTCCAGATGACAGTTATAGGTAATTTGCAACCTCTTACACAAACAATCTCAAATCATCACATTTGCTGTTTTCTTTTAGAGTAAATAATACTTTGCAATATTGAAATATTTGTTTTTGTTAATTCTCACTCTTCTGATAATCAATTTCCCATAAACTTGACACTCAAAAAAAGACACAGACAACATCAGTTCATCCCAGATTTTTATTGTTGTTAAGCATTATTTGTACAGATTTCAGAAACATTGGACAATTTTTTAAAAATTATTAACATTTAACTATTTTAAGTCATGGAATTTGCAGTCTTAATTTTCAGTGTAATATTCAGTTTTCACAAATATATCATCCAAAGACAAGACTTTTCATTAGTCACAGTCAACTGATCAGCTTATCACAGATTTTTATTGTTGTTAAGCATCATTGGTACAAAATATTAGAAATATTGATCTAGATTTGACAAATTTATTAACATTTAAGTATTTTGAGTCACTGAATTTGCTATTCTTTTCAATGTAATTTTCAGTTCTTTCAGTTATATTGTTCTTGTTCCAGAGTACCCTTACCATGAAAAAGCAGGCAGTGAAAGACATCACCAAGAGCAGCACTACCGGGGGTATGTCTTATCCATGTGTACAATACATGATATTTGAAAAGATTTAGGACATAGTAAAATATTGTGCTAACAGCAGCTCATTCCAGAAACCCATTGTAAGGAGTAATCTGCATGTAGGATTGGTAGTAAAGAGAATTTTTGTATAGGTATATACTGTTTTCCCGATGACAGTTACAGGTAATTTGCAACCTCTTACACAAACAACCTCAAATCATCAAAAACCTCAATCACATTTGCTGTTTTCTTTCAGAGTAAATAATACATTGCAATATTGAAATATTTGTTTTGGTTAATTCTCACTCTTCTGATGATCAATTTCAAAAAAAAATTACACTTAAGAAAAGTCAGACAACTTATCAGCATATCACAGTTTTTTATTGTTGTAAAGCTTAATTTGTACAAATATCAGAAACATTGGACTAGATTTGACTGTGTTATTTTCAGTCTTTCTCTTGGTTTTTTTTTTCCAGAGTATCCTTTCCATACTCTACCTGTCTGTGGATGGCTAATTCATATTGAAAAAGAATACGGAGCTTTGTTAGTATCATATAAACTTTTTTCTATTTTCATTTAAGTTTTGTTTTATGGAATTTTCACCGCGGTGAAAATAATTTACACCGCAGTGGAAAATAATTTTCACCACGGTGGAAAATAATTTTCACCGCGGTGAAAAATAATTTACACTGCGGTGGAAAATAATTTTCACCACGGTGGTAATTCCTGGCCATCTCGGCCCAGGTGATGAATAGGTAATCAGAACCTCACATTTGCCAGATGCTGTCACGGTGCATGCTATTGTTACATACACACAAGGTTAATGGATCTGTTCGTGGGGCCACTGCCGTTAACTTAGGTTTCCCATCTATATTTACCACCTATATAATTTAACTCCCGCTTGCAGTTTTATGCAAAGGGAATCCCATTGTTATTACTTAATACTTAACGTTATTTTTGGACAATGTATTTTTAAATATTTGTGTGATGTGTTTGCCCATAGATCTTATCTT